TACATATGCACAGGAAAAATTCCTAGAGCATTCACTGACAGTGCGGAATGATTTATGTACAACCTCTGTTCAGTTTGTTTTGTCTAAAATGCTTTTCTTCTAAATAAAACAAACTTTGTAACACTCAGTTTGAGTGACTTCTCCTGCTTTTTCATTCTACTAATACTCTTTATCCACAATAGTGTTTCTGAAACAGCTTACAGTCTCCCCTTAGTCAATGCCTAACTTTTCTCACTTTTCAAGTTTGATTTTTTGTTTGTTTGTTTCAGTTCTGCTTTTTGAACTGGGAATAGTTGTCAGAGTTTAATTTACTTAGTACATTAAATTATAGTTTTACTATAATCATAATACTTCATGAACCATGATTATGCAAGATCCCAGATGTACAGGACTGATCCATATATTTGGAGTATATATATTGGGTAGCTACAGATGTTTAGGAAAAGGTATTTGCTAGCCAGAAAGGAAAGGCACTGAAAGCAATGCATCGAATGTGTGTGTTTGCTGGCTTGGAAGTGGAGTGCATGTGACAAGTCATGTGTTCAACCTGCCTGAAGGAGTTAATGTATTTGGGGAAAATAAAATAACTACGAGTATATTTAACCAGTATAGTGGGAAAGACATTTTTTCAATACATTGTATTTCTCAAAAGAGACAAAATTGTGTTTATTCAGTATAACCAAATACACTGAGATGTGTTTTGTCAGAGAAACTGCTTCAAGCTATTTACTTCAAGTGTGAAAGAGCTTTCTTAGCATGAATACACATTCTCTTGGGCTGTGCTTCTTTCCAGTTTCAATAACACCTGAACTGTGTTGGAAACATGTTTCAGTAATTGAACCTGTTTATAAAAAAAGTAGATCATAAAATTGTTGGTAAATATAGCATTGTTTAAGATAATTACATTTAGCTACAGGTGCTGAAACAATCCATTATTTCTATAAGCAAAGCCTATCCCATCTGATACTTCAGAAATATCCTGGATGTACTTTGCAGCCACATGCTAGAGTTTCTTGACTACCAGAGTTTGAGCTCTTGCAGTCTGAAACCATTGAGTCCAGTATGTTCATAGGGAAGCCAGCTAGGAAAATTAATTTACATAAACAAATTATTCTATCAGCTTCTGCCAACACATACCTTGCCCAGTCTTTTAAATGATCCAAATTTCCAGTTCTTCTCTCAGACATTTCTAGATATTTGCTGATTCTTGTCAGTCTGGATATCTCTAAAAAAATGCATCAGTTTGCAAATCACATGCCTTCTTCTGTCTGTTTAAATAAGACAGTAAATATGCTAAAATTATACATTTTGGAAATTTTAGTTCTGTGGAAACCTGTAGGGTCATTGCTAATGAGAATTTCCCCATTGTTCATGATTATTGCAGTGTCATGTACATCTACTGAAAACAGACCAGGAAAACAAGGAGTCTGCTGGACTCCATAAACAAAAGAGAGTGCATGGTATATAGTGTTCACAATTATGCTTCAGAATTCAATTTTTAGACATGAAAGGCAATGACCCAGGAAGATAATATTTCAAATTACAGACCCTTTATCCTTAATATTGACCAAATGTGTTACAGTATAGAAAGGTTTTCTGAAAACAGACAAAAGGATTTAGTCTACAAGGTGTGTTTAATGTAAAGCAACAAAGATCTTGTATTAGAGATCTTGCAGTCAAAGTGTTACTGTGCTTGGTGATAAAGAAAACAAAATAAGGTGAACAAAGGTTGAACACCAGTGAGCAGCTATGACTGTTGCTGATTGCATATTGGTTTTCACACTGTGAGCTGTTAAATTGTCACACGCTTGTCTGCAGATAGCTGTGGATGCTCTAAGTTTGCATGTGTTTAGGAAGGAGTCCAAAGAAGTAGAAGTCCATCAAGTGCTATTGATCACAAAATTATCACATTTGGTTCAAGATACCCCTGAACCACCAGTGGTGGCTGACTGGCAGAGTGTATCAGAGGTGTCGTTTCATATTCATATTCCTTTTATTTTTATTGTCATAGAATAGAAACATTAGTGCAGTTGGAAGAGACATACAAGGATCATCTAGTCCGACTGCCCGACCACTTCAGCACTGAAATCTTTCCAGTTGATTTTCTCGTGTCTCCCCTGGAAATAGGATATAAGCCCAGGAGAGCCCTGATCTGACCCTGTGTGGTCATCCTTAGGATTTTATGTGCTTTGCATTATGACCGGTTTAAACCAGCAGGCAACAAATAGAGAATGGACAGGATCTCTCTCACATTTAGAAGCCCACTTTGTTCATTGCAGACACCTAAACAGGAGCCAGGTTTCTAGATTCCCTTTGTAATGACTAATGACTGCTTGCTACTCTGACAGTATCTAGCTTAACATTTGGAAGTTTGTGAACTATTGATTATAGCCATGACTATTTAAATTTGGTTTTTTTCTGGTTTTATTTCTGTTTTTAAATAATCAGTGACATTGATTGAGTATTTAACAATGTAGTTTAAGTCTGATCAAAAGAAGATTATTCCTGTCACTAGAACTACAGAAATCCTTATCTTGTAACAGCTTAATATGATTTGCAAGACCTGCTTTGCTGTACTAACTGAAATTGAGATTCTTTAGCCAACCTAGAATGTTTTAAGCTTTGTCTATAACACTGATGTCCAGACTTTACTGGGTACAGATGTGCTGTTGGGTAGCTCTTGAAATTTAAATTAAATATTTAGAACCTTTGTTCAGTGAAATGATTATGTGTGTACTCATGTCCTTTTTTATTCAGTTAAATACTCAGCCTTTGTTCAGCTTTAAATATCTTGTTTATTTTGTACCCATAACTTGATCACTGTCCTTCTGGATTGGTGGACATTTTATGAGAGCTGGATATGTTCCTTCCTGCAACTGAACATTGTTTTTTGAGATGTTCTACTACAATTAAATTCAGACAAAGAACCAAGGGTTATCCCTATCTTGGAGTGAAGAAAGACAATATTAGAATATTCCATTGTACTGAAGATAATAACAGATGTCACAAAGACTGCAGTTTTAAATCACTGCATCTGGCTACTTGTCTGTCCTTTTTGCAAACTTCAATAGCTGAACTCTGAGATACTGCCTGTTCTTGAAGATTTTATCAAAATTTGTGGAAGACGAAGAACTGTTTACCCTATTAAGACCTATCATTACATCATTCCTCCCTGTCATTCCTAGATTGAGCATGTCTAAAAAATCTGACCTCAAAATCTATTTCAAGCATTTATTACTTTTTTGCTGAAAAAATGCTTCTAAGTGTCTGCTTTGAGGATATTGCTCCTAATTTAATTTTCCAAAGTCTTCATGTCTTATTTCCATTCCGTAAATGTAAACATAAAACGTTACAGTGGTCAATAGTATCTGTTTCAGTATTCAGAACACATACTTCAGTTAGGCCTTCCTAAATACTTGTATCCCTGAGTTGTATTCCCCTAGTTTTGCCAGTTCTCTTACTGGAATTTAGTCAATTAATCCTAAAGAATTGCTGTACTGACCTTCCTTAAATGTTATAATGCATCTTACAATAAAAAAATCAATGAAAGCTGAAAATGGGAATCTAATTAGATGAGAATGGTGAAGCTGCTATTGTAGCAGTGAAATAACCAGACATAAAAAACACAAGAGATTTTAGTAGTATTATTTCCTGACAATTTCAACTTTTCAATATTTTTTTCAGGTTGTTTAAACTGTTTGAACTTTTCTTAGTACTAAGGTTCTCAGAAGTCTGAGACTCAGAACAAGTCTTTCAATTTTAGGCTCATTTATGCATATTATGAAGATTTATTTTTGTGTATATATTGAGCTGCTTTATATTTACATGGCTAATACTTTTTTGTGGACATTTATAAATTGTTGAGTCATTAGAAAGATAAACAATTAAAGACAGCTGTGATCTCAGGTTTGGAAAGCTGGTGCATACAGTTCATCATAAGCCTGCTCCTGCAAGGTATTAATCTCTCTAAGCTGTGCCAGTTCCCGTAAGAGCACAGATCTCTTTTGCTTAGCAAGTTGACACTTACAGAAAAAGTGCTGAACTGCCATGTAAAACTGTGACAGATATCAGACAGAAAAGCACTTTCTTTGTCATTTAAGGGGATTTGTTTTGTTTTATACAGTAATGCTGAAAAAATGTGCAAATGTCTGCAAAAATTAAGTATTTTCTTAGCTCATCCTTCGTATCTAAACACTGGATGAACTGAAACTGTTGTTCTTCTAAGAGGTGAAGGGATACGATAACACCTTTATCAGCACCCACCTAATGTGTCACATACTCATTTCTCAATATGAACGTTCCTCATTCCTCAACAATGCAACTCCCGTATGACTGTCACTTATAGCAAAAGAATATACCACAGGGATGAGCCAACTTAAATGGCAGCAAGCTAAGAGAGATTTACCAGGACACTTCAGCACTTCTAGCTGGTTGGAATATTAACCATTCTATTTACTATTACACTGCAAATGTATGACTGCAAATCTTCACTGCAGTGAAGTTGTCATGAAAGTGTAGTTCTTATCAGACTGTTGCAGTAATGTTACAGCTGTATCTAGCACTATTTCACTGTTAGCAGCCATTGCAAAAAAGTTGCTTACAGAATTAGTTGATCTTCATGTAGTCTCCTTATTTTAGTCTTGCACCATCTCAAAGCATTCATAGTCAGTCCACAAGTTTTAGGGTGGGCCCCTTATGGGAATATATATTGTTGTTGAGAAAGTTACATCATCTCACACAACCTACTGTATGTTCTGCCGAAGGCTACACCAACCTCACAGTTCACATGGGTTTCTAATTCCCACCTCATGGAACAACTAGTTCTGACATATTTGTAATGTGTGGATGTGACACGAATGCAAAAACAAATGTGGTTATGCAAACAGCAAAAGGTCATGCTCTAAGAATGCTGTTGCAGGCTGTTCAGTGGTTTTCAATGCAGCAACTGAACACATCAAAATGCCTCAAAACAAAGTAAGAGACATATATTTGATTTCCAGGATCAGTGGTTTTGGCGAGTCAGAAACAACAGGGTGATGGATGGATACCCCATGCAGATTACCTACTTCTGGAGGGGACTGCCTCCCAGCATTGATGCTGTTTATGAAAACAGTGAAGGGAACTTTGTCTTCTTTAAAGGTAAGAGAAGTGGGATTTTGTGTAATACTTTTGTCTGTGATAATTTCTTGGAACATATCTTGCTTATTTTTATTAATTATTTGTAAATCATGTTGCAAATTGGTAGTTAAATGAAGAGAATATGAGTCATATTTTCTCATTTTGGCAACTACGACTGATTTATGATTATTCTTCAGAGTATCAGAACATTTACATATTAAGTAAAAATTTGGAAGTAGAAATAAGAGACATAGCAATGCAATGATCTTCTATGAAATCTTTTGAAAAAAGTGGACTAAGAAGGGAGAATTCAGACAGCCCATTTTTTTTTGTTCTATTTTTTGTGGTTCTCTTTGCTCTTCTTCCTTTTACAAATAAAATGTGTATGTATTTATTTGGCATCTAGGCTGCATATCTCTCACTGTACTGCACTGTACTTATTTTACATGAGAACCAGAAGTTTCCAGTGTGAAAAAATAAACACTTTTTCATTGATGTGTATTTAGCATTTTAAAAGGCACATAAACTCCAGAAAACGTGTTGTATGGATTGAATTGTTGCTAATAGTTCTTTTCAATATTTTACTCAAGGCATCAGCAGTTATTCAAAATTAAAGTTCTTGAACACACACCTAATTTATATTTAATGAGAAAATTGTCCTATATGTTAAATAAATACCCATTTAGCAACAAAAAGAATGAAAATAATGTAAAGTATGTTTTATAAGATTATTTCTGAAAAGACAAAACTGAATAGATGTTTGAAAAATTATTCAGCTATTTAATGTCAAGAGTGTTAGCAAATTTCAAAAAGGCAGAAAAAAAAATTAAGTTGTTATACCAAAAGTGAATTCATTTTTACCAGTGAAATCATGAACAGGGAGATAGAAACAATAATTTCTTCACCTTGGAAACATTATCATATTGGGAAAGCTAAATAGAAAATGTTTAATAACATTTAAAAACAGAGATGAAATTTACATTTTACTAATATGGAAATCGTATTTTTTTGTGAATCATAAAGAAAATTGTGTTCCATGTAGTATATCATATTTTCTATTTACATGACTGAATACAGCATATCTCGTGCCATAATATAAACTTCATGACATAAACTCCGGGAAGTTGGTAAGATCAAGAATCAGTGTACCTCCAAATCTCTATCCCTCTGCTTAATTTTGGGGAACATGGAAGGATACAAAGATTGTTCTGTTAATACTCTTTCGCTCATGTCCCTCAAGGGTCCATAATGGGACCAGTATTGCTTAATATCTTCATTAATGGTATTGACAGTAGCAATGACAGCAGGCTCAGCAAGTTTGCTGATGACACCAAGCTAGGTGGTGTGGTCGATATTCCAGAGGCACAGGATGCCATCCAGAGGGACCTGGACAAGCTGGAGAAGTGGGCCCATGGGAAATTAATCAGGTTCAACAAGGCCAAAGGCAGGGTCTTGAACATGGGTCAGGGTAACCAGAGATATGAATACAGGCTGATGGAAGAGGTGCTAGAGAGCAGCCCTGTGGAAAAAGACTTGGGGGTACTATTGGATCAAAAGCTGGACATGAGCCACCAATGTGCAATTGCAGCCCAGAAGGACAACCGCATCCTGAGCTGCATCAAAAGAAGTGTGGCCAGCAGATGGAGAGAGAGGTGATTCTGCCCCTCTTCTCTGCCTTGGTGAGACCTCACCTGGAGTACTGCATCCAGCTCTGGAGCCCTGAACACAAGAAGGATGTGGACCTGTTGGAGCATGTCCAGAGGAGGGCCATGAAAATGATCTGAAGACTGGAGCACCTCTCTTGTGAAGACAGGCTGAAGCAGTTGAGGTTGTTCAGCCTAAAGAAGCAAAGACTCCAGAGGGACCTTATAGAGACCTTCCAGTACCTGAAAGGAGCCTGTGAGAAGGCTGGGGAAGACCTGTTCAGAGGAATGTGTAATGATAGGACAAGGGGGTAATGGTTTCAAGCTAGAGAAGGGTAAATTTAGGTTGGAGATTAAGAAAACATTCTTCAATATGAGAGTGGTGGATCACTGGAACATGTTGCCTAGAGAGGTGCTGGAGGCCCCATCCCTGGAGACATTCAAGTTCAAGCTTGATGGGGCACTGGGCAATCTGGTCTAGTGTGAGATGTTTCTGCTTATTGTAGTGGGGTTGAACTAGGTGACCTTTATAGGTCCCTTCCAACCCAAGACATTCTACGATTCTATGAGTCTACATAGAGCAAAGAAACCACGCTGTGCATACCAGACCTTTATCTTGATTATGATGGGGTCCATTACCAGACCTTCAGTCAAAAATGATCAAGCATAGTGGTTTCTTTTCATTCCCAATTACCTCAGAACATGTTTCATAATTATTTAACTCTTCTCCCAGTGCTGACTGACTCCTGGTTGGTCTTAGAGGAATGGGTTGATTCAATAGTTCCATAGGTTACGTACAAGAAACACAAGGAGGAGAGGAACCCCACTATTTAATAGTGGGGAAAATAAATAAACAGGTTTAATTTAAGCAAGAATAAGCAACAGGATTATGGTCTTGGAAGTCATAATATTGCATTCTTTTCTTTCGTCATCATTGCCAGCTTATGCTCTCTGATTTCAGATTGGCTAGGTTTGTGCTTCAAACTGATTTCATATGATACTTGGATTTTCTGTTTCATTCCCAATTACCTCAGAACATGTTTCATAATTATTTAACTCTTCTCCCAGTGCTGACTGACTCCTGGTTGGTCTTAGAGGAATGGGTTGATTCAATAGTTCCATAGGTTACGTACAAGAAACACAAGGAGGAGAGGAACCCCACTATTTAATAGTGGGGAAAATAAATAAACAGGTTTAATTTAAGCAAGAATAAGCAACAGGATTATGGTCTTGGAAGTCATAATATTGCATTCTTTTCTTTCGTCATCATTGCCAGCTTATGCTCTCTGATTTCAGATTGGCTAGGTTTGTGCTTCAAACTGATTTCATATGATACTTGGATTTTCTGTTACAGGTACTTTTTTTTTTTTTTTATAAAGTTTCTTCAATTGCTTTTTTGGTGACATTTGCATCCTTTTGGTTTTGGAGGGGTTTTTTGCCTTTGTTTGCAAAGTCCTTGTAATTTCTTGTACCATTTTTCTGGGGGTTTTTGTTCGTTGGTTTTGGGTGGGTTATTTTGCTTTTTTTCTTCTCTACCCCTTCCTCTTCATGATTTCCAATATCTACTGGGTGATAGGGTTTTTTATCAGTGTAATTCACATTTTTCTACTGTCACAAAGTCAATAGGTTGAAATGAAACTTTTGTATGTGTGTCCTTCGAAATTTCCTGTTAACCAAGTATCTCAGCTGACTTGTGAAACACAATTATAAACAGACTGTAGGTAACAATCATTGTCTCATTTCTTCCATTCCCTCACAGAATTTCTTCCTGGGAAAAGAGTATATATGAAAACAGCACATTTCTCCCAAAGGTGCTAGAAAAAGCCAAATTGACTGTTGCTAAGATGTTGAGCAAGTAGAACATGCTACGTAGGTAGTGTGCTTTGCCAATTTAAGTCTCAAGTCTGACATAGAGATGTGTACACAAAGCACATATCTAAGACAATATTTATGTCCAATATTCAGAGAAAAAAATAATAGAACAGGTGGAGGGAACGCCATCACAGAGCTTGGACTAGAAAAATATCTCTATGCCCACCCCTCAGAAAACATTTTCCATATCCCTTTGTTTTAAGGCTGATCAGTTCTTCACGGCAGAAAAGTGTGATGTTTGTGTGAAGACAGCATTTACTTGCAGATTTTAAAATAACATCTCCAAAAATTCTTCTCAAGGTATCAGTAACATCTAATGTCCTGTAAGGTATAGTGTTCTGAATCTCTAGTGTGTGCTGGAGAATCAAGTCAGTGTGTAAATACCCTCCTTCAAAACAGCCACTGTTTCTTCTGCAGGTGCACAAAGGAAGTTTCCAGGCACACCCTCCATCTCCGTTGTGCTCATTCACTCACTTAGGAGTCTTTTTTACTTATGTTGAACAGGGCCTCCTATGACTGACCAGTTTTTCCGTCCTGCTTTTATACTTGTGAAATGGTATGTCTACCCTCTGAGGAAGGTGAAGACAGGCGTGAATAAATTTACTCATCTGCAATTGCTAGTGAGGAATTGCTAGCCTGCTTCTCCTTATCTGTCTACACTGTCATAGCTGCAGGATAAACAATATTCTGTTAGGCCAGTGACATTTTTAAGATAGATCTTGATCGTTTATCTCTTTAGAAATCCACAAATCTATGCTTTGTTTGATTTGTTTCAATTCTTGTCTTTCACAACAGTAAACATAAATTTTAAAACAATTGACTTAAATTATAAATCAAGTTTAGATAGTTATTACTTTTTTTTTAATTAGCATTAGATTTTTCCTTCCTTTGTGTATGCAGTTGGATTAATAATAGTAGACTACATCTTTACAGTAGTAGAAATACAGATTAGTAAAGGCATAAAAATATTTTAAAACTAACATTTTTTTTAAGTGGGACCTATGTTGTAAAATATGAGCCATGAGTAAATTACATAAGATGGCAGCTCAGGATGGAACATTTTTTAATGAACCTTTAAAATATATTTATAGCTTATTAGTTTGCTATGAGAAATGTAGTTACTCTTAATTGTGCAAATAAAATCCATCAATATATTTACACTGGTTTGTCATTACTGTCATTAGAATACTTGAGCAGCCTGAGAGAACTTGCATGTGTTAAATGTCTTTAGAAAATCAAGCTGAATTAAGTTGAAGACTATTGGATCAAGTGTCTTCTTCGGTTTTAAAATTTAATTGGTCTTTATTTTTATTTTTTTCACTATTTAGATGTTTATTTCCTTTATGTAGTCAATATTTAGTTACACAAAGAAAAGCAATTGTAAAAATTCAGTGCTGAGCCTGTAGTGCAAACTGATACTTGCTCATTTTGGGTGGCTCAAGATACTTGGCCTGCATCCCTGTGCCTCTTAATCCTTATAAAGTACATAGCAAGTTGGTGAATGGC